CCTCCACCTCTCTCTGTCTGTCTCTCTCTCCCCTCCACCTCTCTCTGCCTGTCTCTCTCTCCCCTCCACCTCTCTCTGCCTGTCTCTCTCTCCCCTCCACCTCTCTCTGTCTGTCTCTCTCTCCCCTCCACCTCTCTCTGTCTGTCTCTCTCTCCCCTCCACCTCTCTCTGTCTGTCTCTCTCTCCCCTCCACCTCTCTCTGTCTGTCTCTCTCTCCCCTCCTCCTCTCTCTGTCTGTCTCTCTCTCCCCTCCACCTCTCTCTGCATGCTGTTTGTGTCTCTATCCTTAGGCTGAGGAAGATATCCTAACAGAGAAGATAGCAGAAGTCCGTCTGTCCGAGGAGGAACTCCCCAGTAAGAAGTGAGTTGTCGGCAAGGAGGTTATAAATAGATGATAAAATAAATGGGTCATTCTAAGGTCCAGGGCAATGATGATAAATTGTTGGTCTCTGGTCCAGTGTAGAATCATTGCCGAGTCCTTGGTTTCCGGTGGTCGTTGCCGACACACGCACGCACGGGCCAATTGATGCTGGCTAGCCAGTGGACGTGCCTGCCCCAAGCCTCGACCTGGGCTCAGTTTTGTCAACACTTGTGTAGCAGCCACACCTGTGGATATCCTCACTGGTCACTTTTGTACATTTACAGTCAGCATCAGAAAAAAGATGGAGATCCATGATAAGCGTCATCCAGGGTAAATTTGATGTGCTGATAATGAGTCTGTCTGAGGTCAAATACTTATTTCCAAATATTTTTAAAATTCCTCACCAATCCCCTGTACACAGTAGCCGATGAAAACATATTTGGCACAGCCTAAGTTTTTGGTTCGGCACTGAAATCTCATGCCACAAACACAACGATTTTTGAAGTTTTCTTTCAAGGCTTGGGGCCAATCATCTAAGCATGAATGTGTCGGACGTAGACATGGGGCCAATCATCTAAGCATGAATGTGTCGGACGTAGACATGGGGCCAATCATCTAAGCATGAATGTGTCGGGCGTAGACATGGGGCCAATCATCTAAGCATGAATGTGTCGGGTGTAGACATGGGGCCAATCATCTTAGCATGAATGTGTCGGCGTCTTTACTAGGCATTTACAAAAGCCAGCCACCATAATGCACAAAACAGCTCTACATTACCGTATTGTGTTCACACTAAACCAGTGGGTGGTTGACGGGTGCTCCTTATTTCCTACCAAACATCTAACATCCTTGTCTCCCCTCCTTCTTTTTTCTGTTTGTTACTTTCTTGTAACACCTCTAATCTTTGGTACTTCTTATATATATGACCTTATTGTGTTGCAAACGCCGTAAAAACTCTTACCAAAACAATGTTTTCTCTTTCCTCTTCATAGAAACAAGTCCAAGAAAGCAAGACGAAGAGCTAACAAAGGAACAGCAAAGGAAGAGATGGTATGAGTCCATGACTCCTGGCTCGGGTGTTGTTTGTGCTGGGGTCTTGTGCTGGTTGCTTAGTTACCACTGCAAACATGGGGGAGTCCATTTTTGTTTCTGTCTCTCACATTATACATACATTGATACATGATAGTCATTCACACAGACACACACAGACACTCACAGACACACACAGACACTCACAGTGTCGCTCTCAGCCCGCAGTAGCCCTGACAGGCCGGCTTAGAAGCCCACCTCCTTATTGATTTGGATTAGGTTCATGAGGGTAGAAAAAAATGTTCATTAAGAAAAAATAATTATTTCTTTTGAATTCATCGTTTTTTTCCTCATTATTTTCCAAACCATGTTTGTTCCTGAAATCTGGGTTTTATTTTTGTTTTTTTCTTGTAGCTCCTAATTTCACTAATTATGTAAATTGCGTTGATCATATGGAAGGGTGAAAACACCCACATCTTAAAAAAACTTTCATTTCTTTTGAAACAATAAATCCCCCCCCCCCTCCCCCCTTTCATTTTCCAAACCATCATAATATGTTGTTGTTGTTGTTGTTGTTGTATGGATCCTGCCTTTGGTATTCCATAATTCCACTCGTTCTCCACGTGAACCATCATATGTTGTTGTTGTTGTTGTTGTTGTATGGATCCTGCCTTTGGTATTCCATAATTCCACTCGTTCTCCACGTGAACCATCATATGTTGTTGTTGTTGTTGTTGTTGTTGTTGTTGTATGGATCCTGCCTTTGGTATTCCATAATTCCACTCGTTCTCCACGTGAACCATCATAATATGTTGTTGTTGTTGTTGTTGTTGTTGTTGTTGTTGTTGTTGTATGGATCCTGCCTTTGGTATTCCATAATTCCACTCGTTCTCCATGTGAACCATCATAATATGTTGTTGTTGTTGTTGTTGTTGTTGTTGTTGTATGGATCCTGCCTTTGGTATTCCATAATTCCACTCGTTCTCCACGTGAACCATCATATATTGTTGTTGTTGTTGTTGTTGTTATGAACCATCCTAATACATGATCCTGAAATCTCTAGTTTTTTGTTTGTTTTCTTGTAGGGGAATCAAGCCAGAGAGGAAGACGGACCTGACAGTAGATGTACAAAACCAGCACTTGAGCAAGACCGTGTCCTGGAGACGGCTGAAGGTGATGGGGATGAGGCGAATGTAACAGAAGAGAAAGAAGAATGTTCAGCTCCCAAGGAGGATGTGAAGAAAGAAGAATGTGCTGGGGAAGAGCTCACTGAGGCCAAAGATGGAGAGAAAGAGGAAGAGCTCACTGAGGCCAAAGATGGAGAGAAAGAGGAAGAGCAGGTTTCAAAGGAGAATGGGGAAGTCAACAGGCGGAAAAATCGAAAGGTGAGCTGTTATTCAAAGAAAAAGATTTAGAATTAAAGATATTCTGTTTTGTTTCATGTTAAATGGAAGTTGGACACTTGAGTGTTAGATCTAGAGAGAATATTTACATAACGAGAAGGACATCAACTCAGTCTTGGTCTTTTGTTTAGTGTAATAAGAAACCAAGAAGTAGTGACTATCAACAGCTCTTGCAGAGATGGTGAGGAAACTTTTGACTTGGACTTACTGAGATTTCAGGACACAGAGTCACAAAACCCTGAATGATGTACACAAAGAGAATTAGTTTTGAAACGTTGTCATTCGTAAAGAACAATACTGTTAGTTGCTTGAAAAAAATGTATAGTTTTAATTGCAGCAATGTTCCAAAAATTTGCAGTTCAGGATTCGATATTACATGTTCCACCATTTAATGTTGTTGTTGTTGTTGTTATCGATCCAGCAACAGCTAGGCTCTCGCCCTTCTGTCCAATGCCATGTAGTGATAAGTGCAGGTCTGCTGCAGTTGCTGTAATGTTCCATAGAGTGTGTTGTCAATGTTAGGTCTCGGAGGGAGAAGGGTAACCACCATTTAAATAATGACAATCATGACCTTTTTCATCATCGCGTGTGCTTTTTGACCTTTTCAAAGTGTTGCTTTGGAGGAATGCTTGCTCTGACCATTCAGTGCTGCCAGTAAAAAAACTAAGATGAACATAAGACTAGAGATCACTATTGGCTAGATTGTCTTGGTACAATGTTTGAATGAGAGCAATGAGCTTCATGCCAAACCTTTTTTTGACATGTCCGTCTGAGTTGAACCCGGTGTGTTACAGAAATTCATAAAGGCAATAATGATCTTGTAGCCTACCTGTAGTATTGGAAGTGGAAACTGTCAACGCTTTGTTGACTCGTCATTTTGGTAGTATCCTCTTCGGTTGCAAACAAATTTGAATGACTCATTTTTGGACTGTTGCTGTTACATGAGTAAATGTTGGTATTTTAAGATCAGCAAGCAAATCTGCAAGTTACAGTACCGAAAGTATTTTTGTCCTCAAAGAATTGAACCGAGTTCATGTCTGTCTTTGTTCCTCACCCAAGGATACAGTCAAGTGTAATGTGTGCCAGAAAGGATTCCCCTCCAGGAATAAATTATTCGAGCACATCAAACAGACGGGCCATGCTGTGCGTCTGGAGGCACCTGCGGCTGCTCCTGCTGTGGAAGAGGAGAAGGGCAAGAAAGGGAGGAAGAAGAATGGAAGATAATGGCGGCTTCGACGTTAAGCATAGGACCATCATTTTCTTGGGTTACGGGTGCTTTGGTTTTGATATGTGCTGCTGTCCTTTAGACTTAGACCACATCGTGTGGGAATGTTCCGGTTTTCTTGAGAATGGATGACAGATCAGTGGGCTACACCATGTTTTGTCCTCTGACTTGTACATACAGTGAGTCACAAGCTTGTGTACATAGTACATACAGTGAGTCACACATAGTACATACAGTGAGTCACACATAGTACATACAGTGAGTCACAAGTTTGTGTACATAGTACATACAGTGAGTCACACATAGTACATACAGTGAGTCACACATAGTACATACAGTGAGTCACAAGTTTGTGTACATAGTACATACTGTGAGTCACACATAGTACATACAGTGAGTCACACATAGTACATACTGTGAGTCACACATAGTACATACTGTGAGTCACACATAGTACATACTGTGAGTCACACATAGTACATACTGTGAGTCCTGCTGTTTTTGACCGTTCAGTTCAACACTTTTGTTGGAGACTACTAATTCAGTAAAGAAAACAGTCCTGTGTCATTGCATTTTCAGATGAGGAAGCCCTATGCATGTTTTAGGCGGAGACTACTGCCCTGCAATAAACTGCAATATTAATGCTCATAATAAAGATCTCTGAATATTTGAACATGTGGGGGGATACACTGTTGAACTGAATGTTGAAGATTTACTACAAGTGTTTTTTGCTTTTTTCTGAGGATAATTAAAACTAAAACTCTCATGATGGTGAACTACAGGCTACAGGACTGATATTCCAGCCTTTTGAACAGAGATATTCTCTAAAGAGATGCTTATTTTGATAACATAATTGAGGGAATGTCACTTAAAATGAGGAAAGATGGGGTCAGGTAGGTCCTAGGAATGTTGTATGTGAGCTCTTTTGTCTGAGTATCCCAAGTTAGGCTCCTATTTTTATCGTGAGTGGAGCAGAGTCAAGACGATCTGTGAGGTGAAAATCTTACCTTGTCTTATTGCCTTATGTGACAATTTCTAGAATATCCATTCTTGCACAGTAAAGGATAACATTTTGTTTTAATATTTCTGATTTGATAGTCGTGTGTGAAAGTAACATTTGAGCTGTGAATTTGCACATTTCTTGTTCAGAGATAGATGTAAGAGCATGGAAAGAATGTAGACCTTCATCTTACGATCTATTTTGTTCTCCCTATTTCATCAAAGTGTCATTTGGAAAGATGTGTTTGCATCTCTCGTCATCCGATGGAATAAAACCATCCTAAAACAAAAATTGGTTTGGTTGTTTGTGATGTTGTTGTTGGCTGTTTGGTTTTCTATCCCTCGAGTGGGGTTGTTGTTGTTGTTGTTAGCGATCCAGACCTCGAGTGAGGTTGTTGTTGTTGTTGTTGTTGTTAGCGATCCAGACCTCGAGTGGGGCTTTTCTTGTTGTTGTTGTTGTTAGCAATCCAGACCTCGGGTGGGGCTTTTCTTGTTGTTGTTGTTGTTAGCAATCCAGACCTCGGGTGGGGCTTTTCTTGTTGTTGTTGTTGTTAGCAATCCAGACCTCGAGTGGGGCTTTTCTTGTTGTTGTTGTTGTTAGCAATCCAGACCTCGGGTGGGGCTTTTCTTGTTGTTGTTGTTGTTAGCAATCCAGACCTCGGGTGGGGCTTTTCTTGTTGTTGTTGTTGTTAGCAATCCAGACCTCGGGTGGGGCTTTTCTTGTTGTTGTTGTTGTTAGCAATCCAGACCTCGGGTGGGGCTTTTCTTGTTGTTGTTGTTGTTAGCAATCCAGACCTCGGGTGGGGTTGTTGTTGTTGTTGTTGTTGTTAGCAATCCAGACCTCGGGTGGGGCTTTTCTTGTTGTTGTTGTTGTTAGCAATCCAGACCTCGGGTGGGGTTGTTGTTGTTGTTGTTGTTAGCAATCCAGACCTCGGGTGGGGTTGTTGTTGTTGTTGTTGTTGTTAGCAATCCAGACCTCGGGTGGGGCTTTTCTTGTTGTTGTTGTTGTTAGCAATCCAGACCTCGGGTGGGGCTTTTCTTGTTGTTGTTGTTGTTAGCAATCCAGACCTCGGGTGGGGTTGTTGTTGTTGTTGTTGTTGTTAGCAATCCAGACCTCGGGTGGGGTATACTGCGAGGTTGAGAGAAAAAACAAAGCAAAGAGTTTTGGAACAGCAGTGGTCCTCTGCATCGCCATTCACGTAAAAGTGAGAAGAGTTGTTCGTTGGCGGGTACTCTGCTGTGGTTTGCTCCTTCTTTCCTAGCAAGATCTTTCTTATCTCTCCTTTTATTTGTTTGATACTATCTAGTAACAGCTCTACTCTTTGCCACTTACAGCCTACTACCTTAATTATGTTGCAACTGCCATAAAACTGTTACTAAAACTCTTTTTTAAAATCCAAGGTAGTCAATCCAGTTGTTTGTTGGGAGTACCTCCCAGCATATATACAGAAAACAAGACAAACAGATGGAGTCTATTCTAGTACACAGATAGAAACGAAAAAGAAGAACTAGCAGATTGGGACAAATAAATACTCATGAATAGAAGAAAACAAATAATATGACAATTGACAAAAGTCCATTTTTTAAAGTGTATTTAGCAGTTTTATTCATCAGGTTAGAGAAAAGTGAAGAGCTATCACTCAGTACCACAGCCACCTGGCAACATGAAAGCATAATGCCATGAAAACTGTCGTACTGGTAGGAAAGACGTAAACATCCATTCCCTTACAGATAAAAGCACAGAAAACACAGTCATTAAAATGTACAACAAGTAGTTACATACTCTGCAAGAAAAAGAAATTTGCAGCTAAATTCACACACTACAAACAGTCAGTGTAAGCTAAATATATGACGGCTTTCTTAAAAATTATTTTAAAATTTTAAAACTGTGAAATGTTTTCTGAACAATTCTGATGGAGGGAGTCATTTCTATGAACCAAAGTCAAATTTACATCATGAAAGAGTAAACCTAAAATACCAATAAACCTGAATATAAAGTATTTATCTAATGAACATTGGTTTTGACACATACCCTGCTATACATGATGTAGATAATAAATTGTTCGCGAGTGGTACCCCTGAGGTAGGTCCTCCCCGTTCTTATGATATGAGGCTCACTTACAAGAAAAATTAGTCCACCCTCCAGGGTGTCAGAAATCTAGCGATGAGGCTACTGAACTTGCCACAGGTTTGAATCTCTGTCAGCGCCCAGTTTTTTTTTTCGTGAAAGACACTACTCAAAATTTCCTCATTTTACATTGATGGGAAAAGGCATCTGGCTACAAAAGAGTATGACATTTGCACATTTGTCAGTACAGCCATTAGAGTCTAAGCGCCTGGAATATGCAGCTTGCACTGCACTAACGCTTTCCCAGTGAGCTGAGTAAGTTTCTGAACGTTACCATACAGGGTCTGTTGAGCTAATGATTAATGTACTTTTTTTGTAAGTAATGTAAGGAGCACAGAGCCTACTTTGAAGAAGAAAAATGCACTTTATATAAAATCCATTTATATATATATATTACTACAGGAAAACAGTTGTATTCAAAGGAAACTTCCCAAATGGACAGCCTGACAGAATACATTGTCAACCCCCAGGTAAAAACCTGGGTATGCATTACCCAAGAATCAAATGTCATAGAAATCTCTCTTGCATGTCAAGACACTCAGAGAGACAAATCACATCAGAGTGACAATTAAGGGGAGCATGGGGTTGGCACAAGAGAAAAATAAACTGGGGATAAAGCCAAGTGTAGCCAACAGAGGGAAGAACTAACAAGTGTAGCCAACAAGTGTAGCCACAGAGGAAAGAACTAACAAGTGTAGCCAACAAGTGTAGCCACAGAGGAAAGAACTAACAAGTGTAGCCAACAAGTGTAGCCACAGAGGAAAGAACTAACAAGTGTAGCCACAGAGGAAAGAACTAACAAGTGTAGCCGACAGAGGAAAGAACTAACAAGTGTAGCCAACAAGTGTAGCCGACAGAGGGAAGAACTAACAAGTGTAGCCGACAGAGGAAAGAACTAACAAGTGTAGCCAACAAGTGTAGCCGGCAGAGGGAAGAACTAACAAGTGTAGCCAACAGAGGGAAGAACTAACAATGGTAGCCACCAGAGGAAAGAACTAACAAGTGTAGCCACCAGAGGAAAGAACTAACAAATGTAGCCACAGAGGAAAGAACTAACAAGTGTAGCCACAGAGGAAAGAACTAACAAGTGTAGCCACAGAGGAAAGAACTAACAAGTGTAGCCACAGAGGAAAGAACTAACAAGTGTAGCCACCAGAGGAAACAACTACCAATGGTACAATGCAAAGTGCCAGCATCATGTGACCACTACAGCGACTACAGCGACTACAGCGGCATCCGCTGCAGGGGGACATACCAGGAGCCCCTTTTTTTCCCATTGTAAACTCAATAACCTATGCTTGGGTATAGCAGGGCAAGGAACGGCCCCAACTTGGATCAGTGGAAGAAATCGAGCGAGCTCTAGCTGGGTTGGGGGGGGTAGGCGGGCTCCAAACAGGCAATCAATGGTGTGGCGTTGTGATTGGCCAGTCCAGTGATGAGTGGGGTGGGGCAGGTGGCGTTGTGATTGGCCAGTCCAGTGATGAGTGGGGTGGGGCAGGCAGCAGAGACAGAGAGATGGTGTGGAGGGAGGCGTTACGTGAGTCACTCCAAAAGTGATGTGCCATAGCCTAGATGCTAGGCCAATAAGTCAAAGAAGAGAAGAACCTGTAGAGTGTGATTCTTGTCCATTGAACTGCTCAGTTCAGGCATACGCACGCATCCACTTCACCAGTTCTACCGTTGGCCTACGGGCGGTACGATAGACAGCATAAGCAACAAGGCCAAGGGAAGGATGGCTTCCAACAAAGACAAAAAGAATTAATGCTTCTCACTCAAATTGAAGGCCGAGATTTAAAAAACGAAGTCAAAAAGAACAGGAAGACTAATCTAAAGCACAAAATATGTTATTGATATGGAAGGAAGGTACTCGTGTGGATTTTAAAAAATTTTCTGGTAATTTCCTCTTTGCATTCTTCTAGAGAGAAAACTGGCCGACAGCGGGATTTTTCTTCTGGATTCAAAAGTGCCGCTATAGCCGTGGACTACTAATGAAACAGTTGAAACAAAGGAAAACAATAGATTTGCCAGGTTCCTAGTAAAAGAGAGATAATAACAGAAACGACATTTTAAAAGTAAATCAATGCCATAGTAAAAGTAAAAATTGAAAAAAAAAGAAAAATTCAATTTTGATGAAAATAATTTGAATAATATTATAAACACAAGTGCTGTCGTAAAAGTGAGAATGAAATTGAAAGCAAAGGTGCCATCTTAAAAAGGGTGAAATAAGTTTTAAAATCTTTGGAGGTTGAAGAAATGGTAAAGAAAGCGTTCAATTCATGCAACATTTTCCCCTAACGCAGATAACAGAAGCAGGTTCGTGGAAAGATTTACATGGAAAAATCAAAGGGTGCAGCAAAAATGTTTGACAAATAACTCAGGCTGAGGCGTGTCCTGGACTCCTCATCCTGAATGCCGGGGGGAAAATCAGCAACTTGAAACTTTCCCCCATTAATTTCTGTAAGCAAAGGGGTTTCCACTCGGGGCTGTACAGACAACTCAATAGGTCACACCAAAAGTGGGATCAAGTGACACAGCAACGGAAAAATTTGGTTTTAATTCAAAATGTACAAAACACATGATAGATCTGTATGATATGAACATGAGAGAGATATTTGCTTGAGAGAAAAAAAAACCTTTAACTAAAGCCACAGCGAACATTAGAAACTTGGTAATAATTCATTTTTCCAGGGAATTTTTTTTTAAAAACTAAGAATAAAAATTAGTATTAATTTTTACAAATCACAACCTGCAGCAAACTAAATTATAATTTAAAAACAACCCTGGATAATATATACTTCACCAGTCAATCTCAGAGATATTACATCAGCTCCGTATACCAACAACCCCCCCCCACTCCCCCCGGAAAAACCCCCACTAAACTGCAAGCATACTGTTATTTTATTTCAATGCATGAGCTTTTGAACACGGGTACACATGTTGTGCTCACAACCGTAATGCTTATTAAAATATTGCACTGAGTATCAGGATATACAGAATATTCTATTTATAGAAACCGTAACAAGAGACTTCATAACAAGAGACTTCATAACAAGAGACTTCATAACAATAATAATAATTATAATAATTGCATTTATATAGCGCATATCCATGCTCAAGAGCATGCTTTATGAGCTTTACAACTATTATTACCCCAGCAGACCTTC